ATGATAGTATACATGAGCGACCCCCAGAATTCAACCAGAGAACTCCTCCAGCTGATAAACACCTTCAGCAAAGTGGCAGGATACAAAATCAACTCAAAAAAATCAGAAGCCCTCCTGTATACCAAAGACAAAAGGGCCGAGAAAGAAATTAGGGAAACAACACCCTTCACAATAGCCACTAACCACATAAAGTACCTTGGGGTGACACTAACCAAGCAAGTGAAAGACCTGTTTGAGAAAAACTTCAAGTCTCTGAAGAAAGAAATTGAAGAAGATCTCAGAAGATGGAAAGATCTCCCATGCTCATGGATTGGTAGGATTAACATTGTGAAAATGGCCATCCTGCCAAAAGCAATCTACAGATTCAATGCAATTCCCATCAAAATACCAACTCAATTCTTTATAGACCTTGAAAAAAAGATTCTCAGCTTCATATGGAGAAACAAAAAACCCAGAATCTCCAAAACAATCCTGTACTACAACAGATCATCTGGAGGTATCTTCATCCCCGATCTCAAGTTGTACTACAGAGCAATAGTAATAAAAACTGCATGGTATTGGCATAAAAACAGAAAGGAGGATCAATGGAACCGCATAGAAGACCCAGAAATAAACCCACACACCTATGAATACTCGATTTTTGACAAAGAAGCCAAAACCATTCAATGGAAAAAAGACAGCATCTTCAACAAATGGTGCTGGTCCAACTGGATGTCCACATGCAGAAAAATGAAAATAGATCTATATTTATCACCCTGCACAAAACTAAAGTCCAAGTGGATCAAAGACCTCAACATAAAACCAGATACTCTAAATCTGTTAGAAGAAAAAGTGGGGAACAGCCTAGAACTCATTGGCACAGGAGACAACTTCCTGAACAGAACACCAACAGCACAGGCTCTAAGAGCAACAATCAATAAATGGGACCTCATGAAACTGAAAAGCTTCTGTAAAGCAAAGGACACTATCTTCAAAACAAAACGCCTGCCTACAGATTGGGAAAGAATCTTCACTAACCCTTTATCTGACAGAGGACTAATATCGAGTATATACAAAGAACTAAAGAAGCTGAAAAGCAGCAAACCAAGAATCCACTTAAAAAATGGGGAATAGAGCTAAACAGAGAATTCTCGACAGAGGAATATCGAATGGCAGAGAAACACTTAAAGAAATGCTCATCCTCATTAGCCATCAGGGAAATGAAAATCAAAATGACCCTGAGATTTCACCTTACATCCATCAGAATGGCCAAGGGAAAATTCAAGGGACAACACATGCTGGAGAGGTTGTGGAGAAAGGGGAACCCTCCTCCACTGCTGGTGGGAATGTAAACTGGTACAACCACTCTGGAAATCTATCTGGCGCTTTCTAAGACAATTAGGAATAGTGCTTCCTCAAGACCCAGCTATACCACTGCTAGGTATATACCCAAAGTTTGCTCAAGTACACAAAAGGGATATTTGCTCAACCATGTTTATAGCAGCTTTATTTGTAATAGCAGAACCTGGAAACAACCCAGATGTCCATCAATGGAGGAATGGGTACAGAAATTGTGGTATTTTTACACAATGGAATACTACTCAGCAATCAAAAAGGAGGAAATCATGAAATTTGCAGGCAAATGGTGGGATCTAGAAAAGATCATCCTGAGTGAAATATCCCAGAAGGAGAAAGACAAACATGGTATATACTCACTTATATAGACCTATAAGATATGATAAACATAATGAAATCTATACACCTAAAAAAGATAATCAAGAGAGCGAACATGGGGTAAGATGATCAATCCTCGTTTAGAAAGACAGATGGGATGTGCATTGAACATATGACAGGAGTCTACTGAGCGCATTTGAAAGACTCTAACTAGCAGTGTTTTCAAAGCAAAGACTCATGACCAAACCTTTGGCAGAGTACAGGGAATCATAAGAAAGAAGGGGAGTTAGTCTGATGAGGAAAGGATAGGAGCTCCACAAGGACCAAAGATATCTGGGCACAGGGTCTTTTCTGAGACTGACATGCAACCAAGGACCATGTATGAATGTAACCTAGAACCTCTGCTCAGATGTAGCCTGTGGTAGCTCAGTAACCAATTGGTTTCCCATAGTGAGGGGAACAAGGACTATTTCTAACAGGAACTCAATGACTGCCTCTTTGGCCTCCCCACCCCCCAAGGGAGGAGCAGTCCTGTTAGGCCACAGAGGAGAGCGTTGCAGCCAGTCCTGAAGATACCTGATAAAACAGGATCAGATGAATGGGGAGGAGGTCCCCCCTATCAGTGGACTTGGCAAGGGACATAGTGGAGATGAGGGAGGGAGGGAGGGACTGGGAGGGAATGAGGGATCGGGATATGGCTGGGATACAGAGTTAATAAAATGTAACTGATAAGAAAAAAATAAAATTAAAAAAATAATCAGGTAATCCCTGGCTTAAGGCACTAACAGAAAACGTACCAAAATGACAATGAGTTTTAAAGTATGAAAGAATCACATTATTGTTTAAGAACCAGACAAAAAGGTTTGAAGGAGAATCTGAATTGCATCAGCACAACAATAATTACTAAACACAATCAAAACGTAGACTCGTGGAATCCACCCAATGGATAGATCTACAAAATACTCCTATGCCCACCTACAGCTCAGAAAACATTCCAGCAGAGGGGCAGTCAGATTGTAAGAGCCTGAGGATCAGGGAGTTTGCTGTGAGATTGTGACTCCTATTAATGTCAGAAATGATACCCATAAAAGTCTCACCAACATGACTGCCCAAATATGAGCTGAAAAAATATAATACCAATGACCATGCCAAAGTGGATAGGAAAAGCCATGAGGCCTCAACCCCACATAAAGAACTACAGGCAAATGGAGAAAACTGGGAGGGAGAGAGGTGGTCTCCAGAGAAGAGCACACCACTTGGTTGTCCCAGGCGAAATGGGGACATTTCCCAACCCTGAAAACATATATGTAAGTACATTATATGTACAGAACAGGTTACATTTAAAAATGTATGCATACACATATATGTTTGCAATAACAATTAGTGAAGAGCCTATAAATTTGACGGAGAGTCAGGAGGGGTATATGGAAGGGCTTGGAGGAAGGAAAGGAAAAGGAGAAATATAATTATAGCATAATATTAAAAATAAAATTAGAAAAATTAAAAAAGTTTTACTGTGAAAAAAGTAAAAGAGAGAAAAATATTCAGTACCGTTGAAAGGCAAGAATAATTTGGATTGGCAAAGAATAACAATAAGAAGTCATGATATTCTGCTATGCTTAGAGACAGGAGCCTAGCATAACTGTCTTCTGAGAGGCTCTACTCAGCAGCAGATCAAAACAGATGCAGAAACCAACAGCCAAACATTAGGTAGAGTTCAGGAAGTCTTGTGGAAAAGTGGTGGGAAAGACAGAAGGTCCCAGAGAGTCCAAGAACTCCACAAGAAGACCAACAGAGTCAACTAACCAAGGACCATGTGAACTTGCACAGACTAAAGCACCAACCAAAGAGCAGACATGGACTGGACGTAGGTCTCTAACACATATGCAGCTGATGGGCAGCTCTGTCTTCATGAGGGTCTCCTAGCAATTAGAGTGGTGGCTGTCTCACACATGGACTCTGTTGCCTGCTTTTGGATCACTTGCCCCTAGCTGGGCTGCCTTGTCTGGCCTCAGTGGAAGAGGATGTGCTTAGTCCTGATGGATTTGATGTGCCAAAATAAGTTGGGGGTGGGGGGAGTCTGCTTTTCTGAGGAGAAGGGAGGAGTAGGAGGGTGAGGATTGGAGGAGAGGAGGGAAGGGACTGCGACTGGGATGTAAAGTGAATAAATAAATTTAATAATAATAATAAAGAACAAGTCAGTCTCATGACAGAAAATAGTTAGTCAGCAAAGTGCTGCAGAAACAAGTATTAGGTGGGAGGAAGGACTGAATGGAGCCAAAAGGACACATGAGTTATAAAAGAGAATACAAAGTCAAATTTTTTGTTTTAGTTTCAACTCCATCATAATTGGTTTGGTTTTTTACATGGTAGATATATGACTTCAGTTTTGCTTACTGAAATAACAAAAACCTTTTATGCATTCCCTAAAAAAATTCAACATATTTTTTGAGGCAATGACATAAAAATCTGATTTCCTTTTAACACCATTGACTAAGAATTAAACAAACTAGTTCCTGAACACTTTTTCTCCATTGATCCATTTAGAAAAAGTGCTTTTTAAAATCTGCTCTGACTCCACAAGGACCAAATATATCTGGGCACAGGGTCTTTTCTGAGACTGACATGCAACCAAGGACCATGTATGGATATAACCTATAACCCCTGCTCAGATGTAGCCTGTGGTAGCTCAGTAACCAATTGGTTTCCCATAGTGAGGGGAACAAGGACTATTTCTAACAGGAACTCAGTGGACTTGGCAAGGGGAACGGTGGAGATAAGGGAGGGAGGGAGGGACTGGGAGGGAATGAGGGATCGGGACACGGCTGGGATACAGAGTTAATAAAATGTAACTGGTAAGAAAAAAATAAAATTATAAAAAAGAAAAAAAAATAAAATAAAATCTGCTCTAAGTTTTGTAACCAGTTTTCCCAGTTTTCTTCTTAAAACTATAACAAGGGGCTGGAGAGATGGTTCAGTAGTTAAGAACACGGGCTGTTCTTCCACAAGACCTTGGCTCAGTTCCCAGCACCCAAAATGAGGTTCACACAATGTGTAGCTCCCAGTTCCAGGGGACCCATCGTCCTCTTCTGACCTACGAGGACACTGCACATACATGGTGCACAGACATGCATGCAAGCAAAACTCCCATACACATAAATAATAGTCAAAGGATAAAAATCTATATCAAACCATCCTATCATAGTGTTATACAATATGTAAATTGTATTTCAACACATAAAGTATGGTTGCAAATCTTTTCAGTGGATCAAAAAATTAATCAAATTAGTTTATAAAATTATAGAGACATATTCAATAATAAATCATATTTCCAATATGTTACTAACCCCAATATAATCAATGTCCAGGTCATGATAATGCTTGGCACCCAAAATCCATCTCACAACATAGTAGGAAGTCAGCTGAAGATTTACATAAGGCCAACTGAAACCTTTGCCCAGCCATCCAGGGAATGACCATGGCAACCCTGCAGGGAGAACAGAGGCAAAAGAGGAACATGAAAAACAATGCTGACACCACTAAAAAAAAAAAAAAGTGCACCAGGCAAAGGCCAATGTAAGGCTGGCTGAAATAAGAGATTCCACCACACAGAAATGTAAAAACTCTCTCTATTCACCAGAAGCTATGATTTCTTACTGATCCTTACAACTATGTCTTACACTTCCAAATGTCTTCAATTAAATTTTTAAATAATACCTAAAATAATACCTGTCTCTAAGAGAAAGAAATGCATATTTTGACATCTCTATTTCCTAGGGGTGTTCAATATTACATTCTTATTCTCTTGAGTTCAAATTTAAGTGTCCTGAAAAGCTTATTCCAAACTCCCAATCTACCTTCATAAGATAAGTATAAAGTAAAGTGCCCACTCACAGGATCTCATCTTACAAATGAATATTAAGTTATCTTCATTTAGCATTGGTAGGTCAGGCAACCAAGATAAGCAAACCTAAATCAGCCATTAATTAAATGTATAAATGTCAATGACGCAACAGGAAAATGGCTGCTGTGTGAAGATAGCTTCCCTGGGTCAGGGCATATTCTTCCATAACTCCTGACTGAGAATTTAAAATGGAAAACATTAATTAACTAGGTATAATTCCTGCTTCAACTACAATATTGTAAACTAAGCTCAGCAGCTTATATCCAGTTAAATATATTACCAATCTACTTTACTGTTAAAACTGAAAATCAACCTGACACGAAAATTTTTTCTAAGCTAATTTCACTACATAAAAAAGTATGGCAGTGGAACAACAGAACATTTAAAAACAATGAAATGCTAAGGACAAAGAAGGGTCACCATGTGAGCCTTTGCTGTGATGTGGTTTAGCATGCCAACTGTCTACATTTAAATGAGGTCTGACCTTGCAAACAGTACAATAGGGAGAGTTGTACTCAATTCAAAGATGCTTGTACTGTTGCAAACATTTCTGGAATCTTATAAAAATTCATTTGGAAGAATGTGCTCTTCATTGTTTTTTTTTTAATTTGGAAAAGTAATACTCTTTTCCTTTAATTATCAAGTGAACTAATTTTCAATAACTTAAAATAAGTTAAGTAAAATAGGTCATAATTTTATTTAACTCAGTCTGAATGTAACCAAAATAGCATATCCACGGCAAGTGATAAAAGCCCTATGTTCCAGCTGTTTATAACTCATTCTGCTACAGAATTGGAAAATAAATACTGTCTGGCTTGAGCAACTATCCAGTATACCAACTGCTAATACCTCAGCTTGATATGGGCAGAAAGTGGACATAGGATTGTGAGACTTTTCAGTCTCTTGATCACCAAGTGAGCTGGACAGTCTTATGTCAACTGGCACAAGCCAGAATCATCAGAAAGGAGGGAAGCTCAATTAAGAAAATGCCTCTGAAGATTTGGTTGTATGCAAGCCTGTAAGGCATTTTCTTATTATTGACTGATGGGGGAGGGCTCATCCCATTGAGGGTGGTGCCATAACCAGGCTAGTGATCCTGAGTGCTATAGGAAAGTAGGCTGAGCAAGCCATGTTGAGCAAGCCAGTAAGCAGCACCCTTTTATGGCCTCTGCATAAGCTCCTGCCTCCAGGCTCCTGCCCTACTTGAGTTCCTGTTCTGACTTCCTTCAATGATGTGACAGAGAAATGTAAAACAATAAAAAAAGAAAAAGAAAACCCTTACCCTGTAAGTTGTGTTTTGGTCATGATGTTTCACTGCAGCAATAGAAACCCTAAGTAACACCAAGGTTTAAAAATAGCAAGCCAGGCACAATGAAGGAACCCTGCAACCCTAGCAGTTCAGAGATAGGAGCAGGATGAGGTAGAGTAGCAAGTTCCAGGCTATCCTAAGTCACAAAGTGAGACTCTATCTAAAAGATCAATAAATCATATATATACATATGTATATATAATATATATAAAAGAATAAAATTATAAACTACAAGCCATAAAGATACAACATAATAAACAGTGACAATGAAAGATCATTCCTGGCATATGTTTTGTAGCTGGTAGTACAGGGCTAGTATCAAAACATTAGCATTTCAATGACACACAAGAATAAGTTAAAAGAAAAGATACTCCTAAGTACTTTATCTTACCCATAAGTATGATATTTGGGTTCCTCTTCTTAGCTTCCTTCATTAGCCACCATTCATAGCCTCGGAAATAATTCTCATCTAGTTCATAGTGCATGTGGGAGGGTTCAGTGCCATCTGAATAGGGAGAGAGAAAAAGGAAGGAAATGACCCATGGATGGTGCTTCCTAGAGCCACTAAAGTGCATGCACGCGCTCTCTCTCTCTCTCTCTGTCATACACTCACACTTAACCACATTCATGCAGTCTCACACACACAAACCCACACACTCATACTCACACATGCACTTGGTCTCACATTCAAATCACACACACACTCATACACACTTGCATGCACACACTAAAACAATTTTTAAATGTTACTTCTCTTGTATTCTAGTTCTAATTCAGAAGTTGTGCAGATACGAATTATATGAGAAGATGGCTTTGCAAAGTATATTATTTCATATTTTTCATTATCTTAAACATTGTAATGGCCCCAAGTAATGAAACCTCAATGTTATTTTAAAAGCTGAGAGAAATACTATCACATTTTATTCCTGAAAAATCCTAGGACTAAGCTCTCTTGAGCTCTTGATCTCTCTGAGGTTTTTTATTTCTTTTTTGTTTGATTTATTACAATTTATTCAATTTATATCCTGGCTGTGGCTCCCTCCCTCCCTCTTCTCTCCCCATGCCCCTCTCCTAGTCCACTGATAGGGGAGGTCTTCCTCTCCTTCTATCTGACCCTAGCATAACAGGTCTCATCATTCAAGGTTGAGAAAATCTTTTTAAGAAAATCATACAAGAAAATTATCCCAACTTAAAGAAAGAGATGTTCTTAAACATGCAAGAGGCTTACAGAACACCAAACAGTCTAGACCAGAAAAGAAACTGAGGTTTTTAAGCTCCCATGTCCAACCTCCAGTCCACACCTCAACCTTCCCTCTCAGCCTTGGTTGTGCATCCTGTGCTCTTGAGCCCCAATTCTTGTATCCCACGACATAACATGATACAGTAGACTCTAAGGAGAAGTGAATATGCATGCCTGCTACAAGGATATCAGAGTAAGCCTGAAGTAGGTCTCTGAGGTCAAGGTCCTCAACTCTCTTGCTTCCTGCTTCACCAACACCAGTCTTTGCTAAGTGGGGTCTTATCGGGATGATGATTCTGGCCCATTTCTTCTTTCCTGTCAACATGAGGACTCATAAGAACTGCACCAATAGACCTTTATCTGTAACTTAGCTTCAGCAAATGCCCCAGATCAGCACTGCCCTTCATGAGGTTTTAACAGTAAGTCATGCTTATAGAAAAGCCTCTGGGAGGGAGGCGCATTCCAGCCTTGATTTTTACTTCTTTAAACACCAATGCCCAGTGACTGACCTACTTCACTCTCATTTTCTCCACTCTGACTTCACTTTGCCTAATTAACTTTTTTTTTCTTCTCAGTTCTCTAGCTCCCACACCCTGCAGTTACCTTGGCTTCAAAAAACAACAGTTCTGATCCACAAACATCTTTATCACAACATACTAACACTAACCCCCAAATCACCGCGAGCCTTCCACAGGAGGTTAGAAAAGGAAATCAAGCTGCCCTCTCAAAGGATGTAACTTCTCAGGACCATTGCAGAACAAGCCGTGAGAATGAACAATCAGACAAAGCCTGATCAAGGTTAACTGCCTTGCCAACTATGCAAAACTCTAGCTAATGTAACCGTAATCACAAGTCTCTGTTCCCCTTTTCAATAAAGCCTCAAAGTACTTGTCAGCCTCTCAAAGACAAGCCATGGGTCACTAGACCTTTTTCTGATCATTCACTTTGGTCTAGATAAGAGTGCCCTCCTTGTCTTATCTGTCATCACTACCAAGGCCCTGATAAGTGGTCAAACCTGGCTTGTTAGACTGGAAGCCAGGACTTTTTGTTCTAAAACTCTAATAAGAGTACATATTCAAGTATATCTGTTAAAAATTACTTCCAGAAAGCGAAGATGCAACAGGAAAGGCTGCTCTTCCAGAGAATGTGGGCTTGGCTCCCAGCACCTATTTGATAGCTTACAACCATTTGAAACTCTAGTTCCAGGAAGTACAACACTCTCTTCTGGCCTCTGCAGGCATTAGGCATGAACACGATACACATATCATGATACAAAACACTCATACACATAACTTAAAAATAAATCTTTTTTCACTTTATTAAGATACTGAAGTTTATTTCACATGTATATTTGTCTCCCTACCATTTCCAAATCTGACCACCACAATAACTAAATCCTTTATAACATTCCATACATACTTAAACCAACTAAAGGGTGAAGTTCCATCCTTAAAAACCAAATAGGCATTTTTGTCAACATATTCTTGGCAATTTAACCTTGATGACATTTATCAGACAGCAGGGAAAGTTCCCACTTTGCAGTACAAAAAGGACAAACAGATATCAACTGTAACAGAAATGAAGTAAGATGGAATATTTTAAACTGCCTAAACAGTTTAGACACTTAAAGAGTTTAAAGAGTTTCTTTTTTTAATTTTCATTTTATTTTTAATTATACTTTATTTATTTTGTATCCCCCTCTTCTAGTTCCCTCCCTCCACCCCTTCCAATCTCTCCCTTCCTCCTCCTCCTTCTCCACGCATGCCCCTCCCAAAGTCCACTGGTAGGGGAGGGTTTCTTTTTCTTCCTTCTATCCTAGTCTGTTAGGTTTCATCAGGAGTGGCTTGTCTTCCCCTGTGGCCTGGTAAGGCTGCTCCCCTCTCAGGGGGAGGTAATCAAAGAGCAGGCCAATCAGTTCATGTCAGAAGCAGTCCCTGTTCCCATTTCTATGGAACCCACTTGGACACTAAACTGCCATGGGCTACATCTGTGCAGGGGTTCTAGGTTATCTCCATGCATGGTACTTGGTTGGAGTATGAGTCTCTAGAAAGACCCCCGTGTTCAAATTTTTTGGTCCTGTTGCTCACCTTGACGACTGCCTGTCCTCTCCAGATCTTACTATTTCCCACTTCTTACATAAGATTCCCTGCATTCTGCCTAAAGTTTGACCATAAGTCTCAACATCTGCTTTCATAGTCTGCAGGACAGAGCCTTTCAGAGGCCCTCTGTGGGAGGCTCCTAACTTGTTTCCTGTTTTCTTCTTCTTCATCTGATATCCATCCTCTTTGCCTTTCGCAATGGAGATTGAACATTTTTGCCAGAATCCTCCCTCTAGCTTAGTTTCTTTAGGTGTACAGATTGTAGTAGGTTTATCCCATATTATATGTTTATATGAGTGAGTATATACCGTGTGTCTTTCTGCTTCTGGGATAGCTCACTCAGGATGATCCTTTCCAGTTCCCACCATTTACCTGCAAATTTTATGACTTCCTTGTTTTTCATTATTGAATAATATTCCATTGTGTAGATGTACCACAATTTCTGTATCCATTCTTCAGTTGAGGGGCATCTGGGTTGTTTCCAGCTGCTGGCTATTACAAATAAAGCTGCTACAAACATGGCTGAGCAAATGTCCTTATGATGGACTTGAGCCTCTTTTGGATATATGCCTAGGAGTAGTATAGCTGGATCCTGAAGAAGCCCTATTCCTAGTTGTCTAAGAAAGTGCCAGATTGATTTCCAAAGTGGTTGTACAAGTTTACATTCCCACCAGCAGTGGAGGAGGGTTCCCCTTTCTCCACAACCTCTCCAGCATGTGTTGTCCCTTGAGTTTTTCATCTTGGCCATTCTGATGGGTGTAAGGTGAAATCTCAGGGTCGTTTTGATTTTCATTTCCCTGATGGCTAATGAGGTTGAGCATTTCTTTAAGTGTTTCTCTACCATTCGATATTCCTCTATAGAGAATTCTCTGTTTAGCTCTGTTCCTGATTTTTTAATTGGATTACTTGATTTGCTGCTTTTCAACTTCTTTAGTTCTTTATATATAATGGATATTAGCCCTCTGTCAGATAAAGGGTTAGTGAAGATTCTTTCCCAATCTGTAGATATTTGTTTTGTTTTGAAGACAGTGTCCTTTGCTTTACAGAAGCTTTTCAGTTTCATGAGGTCTCATTTATTGATTGTTGCTCTTAGAGCCTGTGCTGTTGGTGTTCTGTTCAGGAAGTTGTCTCCTGTTCCAATGAGTTCTAGGGTCTTCCCCACTTTTTCTTCTAACTGATTTAACGTGTCTGGTTTTATGTTGAGGTCTTTGATCCACTTGGACTTTAGTTTTGTGCAGGGTGTTAAGTATGGATCTATTTTCATTTTTCTACATGTAGACATCCAGTTAGACCAGCACCATTTGTTGAAGATGCTATCTTTTTTCCATTGTATGGTTTTGGCATCTTTGTCAAAGATCAGGTGTCCATAAGTGTGTGGGTTTATTTCTGGGTCTTCTATTCAGGTTTCATTGATCCACCACTTTGTTTCTATGCCAGTACCATGCAGTTTTTATTACTGTTGCTCTATAGTACAGCTTGAGATCAGGGATGGAGATACCTCCTGAAGATCTTTTACTGTAGAGAATTGTTTTAGCAATTCTGGGTTTCTTGTTGTTTCATATGAAGGTGAGAATTTTTCTTTCAAGGTCTGTAAAGAATTGAGTTGGTAATTTGATGGGAATTGTATTGAATCTGTAGATTGCTTTTGGTAAGATGGCCATTTTTACTATGTTAATCCTGCCCAGCCTAGAGCATGGGAGATCTTTCCATCTTCTCATATCTTCTTCTAATTCTTTCTTCAGAGACTTGAAATTTTTTTCATACAAGTCTTTGACTTGCTTTGTTAGGGTTACACCAAGGTATTTTATGTCTTTTGTGGCCATTGTGAAGGGTGTTGTTTCCCTAATTTCTTTCTCAGCCCTTTTGTCTTTTCTATACAGGAGGGCTACTGATTTTTTTTTTAGTTAATTTTGTATTCTGCGCCACTTTGCTGAAGGTGTTTATCAGCTGTAGGAGTTCCCTGGTAGAATTTTTTGGGGTCACTCAGGTATACTATTATATCATCTGCAAATAGTGATACTTTGATTTCTTCCTTTCTGATTTGTATCCCTTTGATCTCCTTCAATTGTCTTATTACTCTAGCTAAGGACTTCCATAACTATGTTGAAGAGATATGGAAAGAGTGGGAACCTTTCCTTGTCCCTGATTTCAGTGGGATTGCTTTAAGTTTCTCTCCTTTCAGTTTGATGTTGGCTATAGGCTTGCTGTATATCGCCTTTACTATGTTTAGGTATGTGCCTTGTATCCCTTATCTCTCCAATACTTTACACATGAATGGATGTTGGATTTTGTCAAATCCTTTTTCAGCATCTCAGGAGATTATCATATGGATTTTTTCTTTCAGTTTGTTAATATGGTGGATCACATTGATGGATTTCCATATATTGAACCACCCCTACATACCTGGGATGAAGCCTACTTGGTCATAGTGGATGATATCTTTGATGTGTTCTTGTATGCGGTTTGCAAGTATTTTGTTGAGTATTTTTCCATCAATGTTCATAAGGGAGATTGGCCTGAAATTCTCTTTCTTTGTTGGGTCTTTGTGAGGTTTAGGTACCAAGATGACTGTGGCTTCATAGAATGAGTTTGGTAGTATACCTTCCGTTTCTATTTTGTTGAATAGTTTGAAGAGAATTGGAGTTAGCTCTTCTTTGAAGGTCTGGCAGAATTCTGCGCTGAAACCATCTGGTCCTGGCCTTTTTTGGATGGGAGACTTTTGATGACCGCTTCTATTTCCTTAGGGGATATAGAACTATTTAATTGATTTACCTGGTCACGATTTAGATTTGGTAAGTGGAATCGATCCAGAAAATTGACCAGTTCATTTAGATTTTCAAATTTTGTGGCATATAGACTTTTGAAGTAAGTCCTAATGATTGTTTGGATTTCCTCAGTGTCTGTTGTTATGTCCTCCTTTTCATTTCTGATTTTGTTGATTTGGATAGTGTCTCTTTGCCATTTAGTTTGGCTAAGGATTTGTCTATCTTGATTTTCTTAAAGAACCAGCTCTTGGTTTCATTGATTCTTTGAATTGTTTTATTTGTTTCTAATTAATTGACTTTAGCCCTGAGTTTGATTACTTCCAGCCGTCTACTCCTCTTTGGTGTGTCTGCTTCTTTTTTCTCTAGGGCTTTTAGGTGAGCCATTAGGTTGCTGGCATGAGATGTTTCGAATTCCTTCTTGTAGGCACTTAGTGCTATGAACTTTCCTCTTAGCACTGGTTTCATTGTGTCCCATAAGTTCAGGTATGTTGTGCCTTCATTTTCATTGAATTCTAGGAATACTTTGATTTATTTCTTCCCTGACCCAACTGTCATTAAGTAGCAAGTTGTCCAGTTTCCATGTGTGTGTAGGCTTTTTGTTATTCCTGTTGTCGTTGAGATCCAGCTTTAGTCCATGGTGATCAGATAGGATACATGAGATTATTTCAATCTTTTTGTATATTTTGAGACTTGTTTTGTGACCAACTATCTGGTCTATTTTGGAGAAGGTTCCATGAGGTGCTGAGAAGAAGGTAAATTCTTTTGTGTTTGGATGAAAGGTTCTGTAGACATCTTTTAAGTCCATTTGATTCATGACCTCTATTAGAGCCATTGTTTCTTTGTTTAATTTCTGGTTTGCTGACCTGTCCTTTGTTGAGAGTGGGGTGTTGAAGTCTCCCACTATTAATGTATGGGGATCTATGTGTGGTTTCAGTTTTATTAATGTTTCTTTTACAAATGTGGGTGCTCTTGTGTTTGGGGCATAGATGTTCAGAATTGTGGTGTGTTCTTGGTGGAGTTTTCCTTTGATGAGTATGAAATGACTTTACTTCCTTCACTGCCAGAGATCTTGAATAGCCTCCTGGTCAGTCATCCAGAAGTAATTCTTCCCATAATTAATGAACTGGGCTTCCACTATGGGAAGAGCAATACCTTTTTCTATACGTGCTTGCATTTTTGCCTTAACACCTTCTACAGAACTAGGTCCTTTGGGTGATTTAGGAGTTTTTTTCCTGTTTTTTGAAGGACTCTTGACCCTTTTGATCTTGGTGTTGATGCTTATAAGTCTTCGCCATTTTGGTTTGATTTTTGTGATTTTTTGCTGGTGTACCTCATAGTACAGATTTCTTTACTGGAACTTTTTCTTCAGTTTCCTCATCATCAAAATCATGATCTTCATCATCATCATCATCATCCTCATCATCTTCGTCAAGTTTTACTTTTTTCTGTGGAACCTTGCTACCACCTCCAGGGCAGATGGCTGTCAGGGTATACTTAAGAGTTACATCTTCCTCATCTTCATCTTCTTACTCTGAATCTTTCTCCACAGCTACTAGGTGCTATCCATGTGCACATGCCCTGATCCACATTTCAACCTCAACGCCGCAGGTGGTGTAATTTCAAAGCCCCCAAGGGCTACTGTTGGTATACAGGCATTTTCAAAGTTGCCAGTGTTACTTTAATTGGACTGCCTTGATGGTTCATTGTTTCTGCCTCTACAATGAGTAATTTGTCCTTTGCCCCTGTACCTAAACTGACCATTCTTAATGATAGCTGATGTCCATTTTCATCATTATCCACTTTAAAGTGATAATCTTTGTCAGCCCTTAGTTCACAACTGAAAAAGTAGTTCATGTCCATGTCCACAGTCTTCCATGAGGCGGAGGTGTGCACTTATATGTGAAAGAAGTCAGACAGAAAAAACTACCTACTGCTCCCCAGAACAGACACATAGGATGGAATTACACCAAGCAAAATAAATCCTTTTCTAAAAAAATTACTTTGAAATCACTAGCAGGAAGACAAATATACAAAATACACTCTCAAGCTAGCATTAATGGACCTTGCCTGTAAGTATTAAGTCATAGCTAATTACTGAGAATGCTTTAAAATTTGGATATGAAGATTGAATATTTATTTAAAATACATTTTAGTTTTTAAAAAAGAAAGCTATATCTGTATCTCTAAAAATACATTTGTTGTATTTTAAAATACATTTTAAAGTTAGTAACATCTTATATAGTCTATACATAATTAATGTTTTCTTATATCTTTTCTCATAAAATTCCAAATGTGCATGATTTTAGAAAACTCGATGTTTTCCTAATGATAACTTCAATTAATGAGCAATTGAGAGTTTCAATACTATTTTGAAATTTTTACATTTAACATAATTTTTAAAAGTAAAAATAAAAAAGGCAAACCAGCAAGATGGCTGAGCAGGTAAAGGTATACGTCACCCAGCCTGATGACTTTGGATAGATTCCCAGGACCCACAGAGTGAAAGGAAAGAAATTATTCCCTCAAGCCATCCTCCAACCTCCACATGCACAGAGCTACAGACACACACACACACCTGAAAACGTAAAAGGAGAAAAGTCAAGCACAATCTTGACGGGCAATCAACCTCAAATGAGTCGACCTTCCTTATGTCCCACATGTTTGAGTATAGTATGTTTAGGTAAAATGTTGGGAAAAATCTTATTTCCCACATACACACACCTGTTGTTTGTCCATCGCCACCTATTTCCACTTTTAGAATATGCAAAGAGGCACCAAAGTTTGGCTGTGGAAAAAAGAACAGTATTATTACTGTGTTAGAGGCCTTTGGCTGGACAGGTGAGAGAAGAGCAAAACTTTGATCAGAAAGCTCATAAAATCCAAGGCTGAATTCACCGTACACTTTTGAAACATCACAAGCCCGTTAGATAATTATTTTTCTTTACCTTAAATAGATAATCCAGTATTTCAGAACGATAGGGCTCTGGGTAATTTACTAGAAGCCGGGAGGTTGCCTGGAAAAAAAGAAGTTTTCAAAAATATGAATAAAACAAATATAATCGTCTATGCTTGTCTATGGTATTCAAACACACACACAAACACACACACACACACACACACACACACACCAGCATGAACAAATGGAGCTGTGGGAACTCCTATGCCATTGTAAGAGCTGGTTGAGTGATAAGCTAATAAAGGCTATTAAAACACTGTGATGGTTAACACTGACAGCTTGACAGGCACTAGAATCACTTGGGAGACAAACTTCTGGCGTGACTGTGAGGAAGCTTCAATTGAAGTGTCAACTGAAGTTGGAAGGCCCACTCTCACTGTAAGTAGAGCCATTTCATGGGCTGACGCCGCAAGCTGTATAAAACGGAGAAAGCTAGCTTGAGCACTGGCAGTCATCTCTCTGCACTGTCTAACTGCAGATACAATGTGACCAGCTGCCATAACCTCCTTCTCTACCATCACAGAGCAAACCCTCAAATTTGGAGCCAAAATAAATCCTTTCTCTCAAACTATATCTCAAGGGCAGGCTCTTTGACCCCACCCCCACCCCCGGGAAGGAGCATTCCTGTTAGGCCACAGAGGAAGACTTTGCAGCCAGCCCTGAAGATACCTGATAAAACAGGGTCAAATGAAAGGGGAGGAGGTCCTCCCCTATCAGTGGACTTGGAAAGGGGCAGGGAGGAGACCAGGGAGGGTGTGTGGGGTTGGGGAGGGAATGAGGGAATGGGATACAGCTGGGACACAGAGTTAACAAAATGTAACTAATAAGAAAAATAAAATTAAAAAAAAGAAAAATAATATAAAGACTATTTCAAATTTATCTTGAAACTGAAATATTCTATACCAAGACCCCTTATCAATATCTGGGGGCTAGAATAAATGAGATGAATCTCAGACAATTTTACCCATCAATATCTTATATATAAGAGCACTGTTGAAGCTGAAGTTGGGGTCTTTTTGTCTTATTAGAAACTAGGGTACCAGGACACTTTCTCAAATGCCTGCCACAAGTGCACACCAATACAAGGATTGCATCCTCATAAGATCCTAAACTTCATTTCATTTTCATTATGGTTTTGACCCCTCCACATTCCCCTATACATACATAATATTTTTCAAGATATTATCAGACTATTCTAAAGCAGATATCTGGTCCTCCACGATTTGGCAGAGAAAACTGGAACTTATTCATGAATATGGCATCAATCTCATAGTCATAAAAAGTCTTTAAAATCTGTAACCCAAAGCCAACAGTACTGCTTGCCCCCTTGCCTTTGGGACAATTGTAGTGTCTCCTTGCAGTGTTTGCATTGCTAAATAATCATTTGCTTAAATTCTGTGTCAGACTGAATTCTCTCCTTCAAGAATACAAGAACTAAGTAAAAGCCTTTACCTGGTGACATAAGCAAGGAAAATAGAGGTAGTTTACTTTTTTTTTTTTTTTTCAGCATAAAACTGGCAATGAACTGCCAATTTGCCAAGTATATGACAAGGGTAAGGCACTTGGCATTTTATGGGACTCCACCCACTCTACACTCTCACATGTGACATTCTGTTTGGTGCCCATTCTACTTACTCAGACCCAGAAGCTTCCTACTTTGTCTATGTGCCACAAAACATGTCAAGTACACAACAAACCCCACGAAACATCATTCTTACCAAATCTGTTCCTTCTACATCTTCTACCTTACTAAAGAAGAACATCTGTCTAAGCCATTAGCCTGTGGTCAGCCTTTCACCAAACTCTCCATCTATACTCAGTCACCAAGAGATCCTCAGTGCGCTCAAATCAGTCTCCTACCGTTCAACCCCGCTGGCTTACCCTCACCCTCCTCTCTAGAATAGGGAAAATGGATTCAGGCTTACCATCCACCTCCCTGTAGTTACTCTCCACACTACTTACAAGTCCAATATTCTCCAAACAAAAGTGTAACCCTGTCATTACCCTGCTAAGTTTTCCTGTTCTCTAATAGCTTTCCAAATATTCCAATTGCTTCGCTTTATAGTAAAGTCCCTTAATAATTTGAATCTAGTTCTGTCAGTTTGCCTCTTATTACTCTCACATCTTTAATCCACACATATTAAATTGCCTTTTGTTTCCTGCCTCCCTGGAATAATATACTGCATCTTCATTTTCCAGTCAAGTCCACTTCAATATTTAGGTATCAGCTCAAAGCTTACTTCTCCAGGGAAAGCTGCCTTCAGCAACCCCCCATTAACCCCAAGTACTTATTTGAGCAACACTGATACCAGGTCCACATCTCATTATAACACTTGTAATCTACATCTGTGATATGTGATGCCTTCTTCAAGTTCTTGTCCCTATTCCTTCTTATCCAAAAGACAGTGATTTAGTATCTTTTGTGGTTTTGTTGCACAAGTATAGGGAGCCTATACAGGAGGCTGTGAACTGATCTGAGTCCTTTTTCTCAAAAGCTATGAGACCATGAGCAAGTAATAAAGTAAGGAACTCATTCAGGTGTTTTGACATTAAGATGCCCATTAAAAGCACAGCAAGAGCCCAAGCACATAGTAAGCCCGGTAAATGGCAGGCTACACACACACACACACACACACAGGCGAATTTTAAAACAAATAACTTGACAGCCTAGCAGATGCTCCAATGCCAAAACAAGCATCCAAAAAATGAATACTATCTGAATGCCAACATATCTTGTCATTACATAAGACTGTCATATGTAATCTTGCATTATGCAATTTGAAAATGTGTTATTTGTTGCCTGGGAATTCTTTTGCTGCCTATGCACACCTCCTCTTACCACAGAAAGTACCAGATCTAGAAAAACAATACTATAGTCACAATACTATTGTGTGAATATAGACCTATTTAGACAATAGACTTAATGTTGAAACACACTATTAAACAAGGAATTTCCAAATTACTGAGCTGCCTAAATAAGGTCCCACGCCATCTGCAACACCAGGAAGTGGCCATGGGTACACTTGTTCATCATACCTTGAAACAACTTCCTCCTCTACAATCCCTAACACCTCACAGTAATCACAATTGGCTCGTCACACCTGTCCTCACAATCCTACTGTCAAACAGTTACCTCTGTTCCCTCCGAAAAGAAACTGAAGCAAAGAGAAATTAAATACCTTGTCAAAACCATCAGGTCCTGTACCAGAATGACTCCAACAACCTCTGAAGCCCACATTTTAACTACTGCAGCAAATTTTAAGCTTTCTCGAAAAATGTGAAGGTGAAACGAGAGCAATCTAAATACCGATACAAACTGTGTTAGGTAACAAGAATTTTACACACACACACACACACACACACACACACACACATTTAAACTGGTATATAAAATGTTCAACCATCTTCATTCATTATTGCTAAACTGAGTAACACAACATAGATATATTAATAATGAATATTTTATAGATCAGATAAGAATTACCTGCTCTAGAGGCTGCAGTGATGGCAGCTCAGAATGAACTGGTACTTCCCGTCTCTACAAGTACCTGCACTCACATGTACATAGGATCCCACGCCCCCGACACACACATAATTAAAATAAATCTTTAGAAATAAAAATGAATTTCTGGTTCTAGGTTCTCAAGTGATTGTTTTAAAAGTCAGGGTTTCATTGTTGCACTTGGCTGGCTATCAAGCTGGCCTCAAACTCAGAGATCCATCAGCCTCTGCCTCCTGGGTGCTGGGATCAAAGAGCTTCCTCCATCACACCAGGTTATGAAATTATTTTAATACTTTAAATTGAGCTAAATAAGCAAAACTAGAGATTTCATTTATTAAAAAAAAGCCTATGCACTTCAATTTAATATTACAACGATATCAAAAGGGGAGATTGAGGCTGTATATGAAATACTGGCTGTTCTAAATGTAAATCAAAGAGAGAGAGAGCAACTGTACTGAGAATAAAGATATTAGTTGATCAGGATGCACACCGTGGAGTATGCGAGCACATTATACTGTATTCCTAACTTTTCTGCAGATCTAACAGTCTAAGGTTTCAACTTAAAAGCAATCCTGAGGATCTCTGAATCAAAAAGAAATCTCTCTCAAGACCTCCTCTTCTGAGAATTAACTGGTTGGTGTTTATTACAAAACCAAAATGAGAGAGGAAGTCAAATTTTAACCAGCACATCTGGCGATTATGATGCACCTAAGAGAGCCAGTTTCCTCATTCCCTCACACACTGTGCATAGCCTCTGGGCAGTTTCTGTTAGTGGATGAAGGTGGCTCTCTTTAAACACAATATCCCTGCCAGCTTCAGACCTTACGTGTCCATGAGGCAACAGTCGTACAGGGAGGGAGAATGTACTATTCGCTGCTCAGGAAGGGTCGCCAAACACCCACTAGCGGTCCATGGCTTCTGACCCTGGGCCCCAACCAGCTAACTCCCTAGGAAGGATTAGAACCACTAAAGCGTCCCGCGGAGGCTCCGCGTTCCCGCTCCAGCTCCTTCTGAGGCGACCTTTCCACCTGGGCAAGGCCATCCGAGCGAGGGCTCCCTCGCGTCCACCTGCGCCCTCGAGACTGCGGCCGCCCGGTCCGTGCCTCCCTGCCGCCAGCCTGAGCTCCGCTCAGAGCGGCGTGCGGGAAGCGGCGTCCGTTTGCCGGGCAACGCCGCGGGGGCTTGTGGGACGGGGCGACCCCCGGCATTCCCCGCGCTCGGGAGAACCCTGCCTCCCGCCGGCCCCGCGCTCACCCCGCCGCCGCTGACTGCGCCGATGCCGTCGAACTCCCGGCCCAGCCCGTCGGAGTCGTCGAGCACGTAGGCGCCGCCGGGCGCCAGCATCGCGCACCACAACAGCCAGGGCACCGCGGCACGGCACGCCGAGCCCGCGGCGGCGGTCATGACTTTTGCTTGCCGTTGCTGGGAAGCCTTAAGTTGGCTGTGAGCCATTGTGCGGGTCACGTGACCGCGGCGCCCAGGGAGGCGGGCCCGATCGCCTCCGGAAGGAAGAACTGCGGGCGGCGGTAGCGGCCTTCGCCATCTTTAGGGAGGGCGGCGGGCTGTCCGCGCGGCCGCGGTAGTGTTCAGCGGGGAGGGGTTGAGCGAGGTTTGCCTTGTCACTTCTGTGTCAAAGACGCGGTGCGGCTCTCTGCGTGTAATGAGTGACCGTTCTTCCTACCTCACCTGATGAACGGGAAGTGAATGCTCAACAACTCAGAAGAAGAGGACTCTTCTTGGCCCTACCCTAGTAGCTCATTCTCAGTAGGAAACAGCAAGGAGGACCTGGCCTGAAGCCCCAAACTAAGCCACCAGTTAAGCCACTTCAGCGGTCATTTTGGGTTGAGTTGCTTGGCTTTAGGACCCTGAATTTTTCCCAACCGACGTGAGTAGAGAACAGTAAGTCAGGGAACTCCGGATAAAATAAGATAATAGGCACTCAGGAAATCCTAGTTGGATGCTCTTATACACTTAGCGAATGCTATCTGACAGAGTTTTTCTTTCAGTTAAGTACTCTGCTCTGTGCAGGGCCTTTAGCCTTAAAAGAATTAAGAATATGATTGATTATACACCCAAAATGTCGCTATGAATTATTTACTATTTTGAGTTAAAAGACCTAAAACATACAGTAGGTCTAGGATACTCTGACCTTTATTGTTTCTTCAAGGAATGTGAAATTCACTTATGAGAGATGCCCTGACTAAAATATAGGAAGTGGCAATGTTTGCCAGTGCTTATTACAGTAACCCTACCTTCCTGCTCACTTCTCTATCCAGTTACTCTTCCAAGTACATCCAACCTGTGCCTGCAGACGTGTAGTAGACGATAGCTATGAAAGCAGCCAAACACGAAATTATGGGTAAGCTTAAGACATTTTGAGGCTTTTTATGATTTAAAAAAAAAAAAAAACTCAATTGTGCAGACATCAAGAGTGAAGTCTGTAGCTGACAACAGTCACAATATGAAAAGGTTGGACATGTCTGGTGTCTGCTGTGCATAACCACATTTTACAACTTCTGGTCTGATTCAGCATATAAGTTATTAACCTGATTGGGGGGGGGGGGAGGCTTCATTTTCTTAAGCCCTATAGTCTCAGTTTAATTCTTAGGACTCAAAGATGGGGAAGGTAAATTTATGCTCCCTTGAAACTATTGTAAAGTTATCTTCCACTGCCAGTGAATGGGTCCCAGGCAGGTAACACTAAGTTGTCCAGAAAGTTATGAACTGTCCCAGAGATTCTGGGTCCCCTAATATTGAAGAAAATACTGTGTAAAAGGCTGAAGAAAACGTTTCTCTCTAAAATTCCCTTTAGCAGGAAGCATAGAACTATTTGAGTTCCCACTCAAGCTCCTACAACACCAGAGTGTCAAGGAGAAGGCACACACTGGGGCTTTGGAGAACATAGGCCATTCCATAATTATCTTAGGAATAAGTTGTGTTGTCCCTTAAAAATTTGCACCCATACAAGTCAGAGCTTCTCTCCTACCACATGGCTCCCAGGGATTAAACTCAGGTCACCAAGCTTGGTGGTGGGCACCTATACTCACAGAGGTGTTTGACCAGCCCTTATTTTGCTCTGAGGTTTGGTACTCTCGTCATCCAGACCTGTCACTGAATCTCATGGTTAGAGTGGTGGGAGGCAGAATTATGCCACCTCCAAGAATGAAGAAAGCAGCTTCTCCCTCTTGCTGCTGTCAGCACAGGCTACAGCAGTAACCAGACTCTTTCAGTCAGGTCCTTGAAACTGTACTTTGACCTTGGAAGGGTGGCCAGAAGCTTGCAGAGTGGATAGATCACATTGGAACCCCAAGAGTCAAGAAGAGTTAGTGCCACAGAGACTGTAGCTAATGTGTCCTTAAGGGCCCAGCACAGTGGAGTCAGCAGTGCTAAACTAACCAGAATGTCTTTTCTGTTCTTTGTGTCTAACCAATTTTACAAGCCTGTTCCTTAGGGCTCTGCATTGATCACAGACCAGAGCCTGACTGCTTTACAAGTCACAAACACAGTTTGTGTTTACAGCAAAAAATCCTGGCTTAATAGAATCCTTGGCAAATGTGATCATTACAACAAATTCTCCAACTTTGAAAACTGCCTCCTCTACGAAGTTCATTTGCCAGCAATGTTTACTGCACAGATTTGCTCAAGCAATGAAAAGGCAGCCCCAGTTTTGCTCCCATGCTTCAGCTACAGTATGTTTTGTCAGAGAGCAATCTTAGAGTCTACCTCGCTCCTAAGTGTGAAGAAACTGTCAATTTATTTTATTTTACTGTCACTGTAACCAAATAACTGACAAGAAGCAAGAAAGGGTTTATTTGTCATAGAGTGTAAGAGGGTATAATTCATCATGATGGGGACGATATGGCATCAGGGTGTGATGTGACTGGTCACCTTGTGTCCACAACCAGGAAACTGAGCATGAACAAGAAATGGGGCTGTAACAACTCAGGACCCATTCTTCCTGGCCCACATCCTCCACCAAGGGCTCCACAGCCTTCTCCACACAGCACCACCACTGGGGACCAAGTGTTCACACATACGCACCGCGACATATTCCATGTTCAAACCACAGCACAGTTCAGCAGAGAAAGTATTTCAACGTCCAACACACTGCTGTCCAATAGAGAGAGAATGGTAAACAGAGACATCATTGGGACTTTTCTATCAGCCACACTACTGTTAAAACTGAACATTAACCTTTATGGTATATTTTATTTAACCTCATAATCGAAATTACCCTAACAGTATGTAATTAATAAAAATATTTAACATATATTAGTTTCTTTGTACTTAATTTTCTAAGACCCCATACTTTATGCATATGTCACATCTGAATTTAGATAAAGCTTCACTGTATCTCTGCAGCATTTCCCCAGGCAAGTAGTCCAGGACCCCATGCTTTCCATTCTTTTCAGTGCCTCTTTTGAAGCTAAATTTATAGCCTTTCCCCCCTATAACTTTTTGCCAAGAATCCTTTCTCTTTATGCAACAAACACAAAATGACTAATTAAAACTGTAAAAAAAAAAAAAAAATGAGAATAAGTACCAGGATCTCAGAACTTGATCCTGCCATATTTGCTCACTTCTTTTAATCTTAGAAATTGCACCAGACAACTGGTGCAGCTTTAAAAGAGAGAGAAAGAAAAAGAAAAAGACCTTCATCAGCAAAATAATCGCCCACACTGTCTGCCCCATAGAGAAGTTGTGTATCCAGCCAGTCCACATTCTTTTCTCCTGTTTCCTATTTTAAGCCCAACTGTGCTGGCTCTGGCCAGTGTTGGGTGCCCACTTTGTGATCTCAGAAGACCAGAAAACTGACTGCCCAAGAATTCTGACTCCATAAGGCCAGTGTTCTGAATAACTGTTCACTGATTCAGCCTTTATATTGTTAAAATACCTCAATGTATCTGGGCTCTGGAAATCTCCCAACTATTCATTTAATACCATTGTAATTAAAATATGTTACTGCTACATTTTTAACTAAACAAAATGCAGAGTCCATAATAGTTGGTGACTGTCTCCTTGTGTGAAGTAAGCAAGGTTTGGTCACTAACATTTTTCCCCTATTTAAGCAGAAGTGAAAGTTTGTGTTTCTCATGTTCTCTTGCTACATCCTCTTTTTTTTTCTTAGTGTTTGAAGAATAAATAGATATATGATATGGATTTGAAAATCTGTCTCTAAAAACAGCAGTATGGTCTATCTAGGTAAAATCAGATATTGTACGAATCATGAGATACCCATGAAATAGACACAATAGTTAGACAAATGTGCAAAACCAAGCATAAAAAGAGATTTGGGGAGTGTCATCATGAGTAAACAGAAACTATTATTTTCATTTTGGTAAATTTTTAATCCCCCTATTTCTGTATGTGTGTGCATGTGTGCATGTATGTGTGCAGATTCATATGTGTGTTTGTGTGTGTGCAAAGGCATGTGTCAGCCTGAGGACCACCCTGGGAATTGTTCCTCAGGCACCATCATTCTTGCCTTTGTTTTTCTTCTTTCTTTTTAAATTTAAGAAAGTCTTTTCTTAACCCAAAGTTTGCCTGTCCCTGCCTTCCCAAAACCAGGGTTTTGATCACGCACAAGCACCCTTGCCTTTTTTTAAACTGGTTCTGAGGATGGAACTCGGATCCCCTGGCTGCAAAGAAAGTGCTGCGTTAAGTGATCCCTGAAGCTTTGGTCCTTCTTCTTCTTCTTCTTCTTCTTCTTCTTCTTCTTCTTCTTCTTCT